GCAGCTGCAACAGCAGCATTGTGAAGACCCTGCTGGCACTCGTTCTCGGCCCAACAACACGGTCGACCTTTTGTCTCTCTCTAATATGGAGGCCATCAAGCGCTTAAAAGGTATTAGGGGAGTTTGTGTTGCCAGCCAACTAAGTTTCTTCATCATGTGCCTTTGCATGCGTGGAGCATCTGCAAGATAACAATCAAAAGTACTAAAATCACGCTCTAGTTGAGATTAAGTAAATTTAAGCGGAGTTAATAATTAATTGCTTTTTAATCCGATAGCAATATGTTTCTTAACGCAAAATTGCATCCCTAAAATCTTTTCCATACAACTCCAGTTGTTCTTCCATGGGCCTCTTGATATAACATGCCTCTTTCTACTTGATTGTTTCTATAAAAAAAACATTAATTCTGTCGTAGGTAGCCTTCGAGACTATCGCCAATGCTTAAATAACTACCTAGTCATTTTAGATCGCTTGAGGAAATTTAAGGACCGAAATATGAAGACCAAGATGTTGTGGCCTCTAGTTTGATTGCAGTCTCCTTTCCATGTATGAATGTGGCCTGACCACGTTTTCGCAACTTGGTTGTGTTGTTAGGGAGAATTAGTTGGACGCATCTCGTCCAAAGTCCTTAGCTATAATAGTTATCATATTTCCAAGCGTCGAACCATGGACTTGGTACATTCTCAGAGCTTTCACCGGAATCGTAGTCGGCATCGTTAGTGAGTGTTGCTATTCTGCCGAACCGGTTGTTCTATCACTCCCCTTTCTTACCTCTTTCTACCTACATCCTACTGACTTATCTCACTTCCGACACGAGATCAATTAAAATGAATATGAAAGAAGAGCCTCATGTCGTAAAAACACAAGGAAACTTAAGATTGGGAAGTGATTTACACTCTTTAGGGAAAAAATAATGAACTGGAGATTTGAAGAAAGCAAGGTTAGCGATAACTTTGCCTATTGCTTAAACAAACTCAAAGAAAACAAGGATACGGCAAGACCAACAAAAAGATAACGTCTGTATGTAGGGCCTATCGTTAATCAGAAGAACATGGATCGCAAGGAAAAAGCGGACAAGAAATTATCGATAACCAATGGGAGATGTTTCCAGGGGGTGTGTTATACTTGAAAAAATAAATAAAACTTTGGGGTCTGCAGTCACAGTACTAGAAAAACGGATATGCACGATCGTCACAGAAATTCGGCATTGACTAAAAAACCACTTAAGAAGCAGTAGGTGTCCCGAGATAGACGTCTCCAGCTTGTTAAAGGTACATGGGTCGATTCAAGGAGATGATCCTTGAAGACAATACTTGATATCCTCAAACATGGGAATCAGAGCCTAGGCGCTCTGCTTGGTAAAACAACAGTGTACGTATTAC